GCATGTGCAAGCACCACATTGTCTCACTAGTGTAAAACCTGAAAGAGTTAAACTCAGAGGTATGATAGACATTGTGAAATGATAGGAAAACACTCAAGGGTAAAGGGCCAGTGGGATGTGGGAAAAGAAAGGGGAAAGAAGGAGAAATTTTGTATGTATGTATTTACAGGATAGCTGTTCTACTGTCTTCTATTTCTTTTCTGAAAGAAACTGTAGATGAGTCCTTGATTGATCAATATTGCATGTCTCTGTTTTCAAGAGAAACCACTTTGAAGATATGTAATACAAGCATTGTTAATTTCCTATCACTTTGTTTGTAACTCTGTATTATTGGTATTGTTCTTTTGCTATTTTGAAAAGGTTGTCTGTTTGTTAATGTTTTCCTCCTTTTATTTTTAAAATAAAAAAAACATGGGTATAACTGATATGTATTGACTTATTCTCATCATGTTTTTTCCTGTTGTTGGCTGCCCCCATTTTTACCCCCTGTTTAATTGTGTCTTGCCTGGTAGATTTCTTCTGTTGAGGTTCTTGGAGTTGTCCTTATTTTCTCTTTCTACAATGTTTTTCAAAACATTTTGGAGTGCTGGTTTGGTGGTCATGAATTTCCTCAGATGTTCTTTGTTATGGAGGTATTTTACTTCTCTATCAGTTTTAAAAGATAGTTTTGTGGGGTACATCAATCTGGGTTGAAGGTTGTTTCCCTTTAGATCTTTAAATACTTTGCTCCAAGTTGTCCTTGAGAGTTTGTGCTGAGAAGTCATCTGTGATTCTGATGGGTTTTCCTTTATATGTGATTTGTTTCTCTTCCCTAACAGCTTTTAAGATTCTATTCTTGTGTTGAATTCCTGGCATCTTGGCTATGATATGCCTGGCTGTAGATTTTTTTTGATTGTGGCTAATTGGAGTTCTGTATGCCTCACTTATCAGTATATCAAATTCTTTTTCCCTACCAGGAAAATTTTCTGCCATGATATCTGTGAACAGTTTTTTTAATGTCATTTGTGCTATCTCCTGCTTTTTCATTGACTCCAATCAATCTTAAGTTATTCTTCTTTGCCTCTTCTAGCAGCTGCTGGATTGATTTCTCATGGTCCCTTACTATTTTAAAGAAATCTTTCTTTTCATGATTGCTAACTGCAAGCCTGTCTTCTATATCTGTGATCCTGTCCTAGCGTTGACTTATTCTGCTATGGATACTTTCAATGGAATTTTTATTCTCCTTCTTATCTGCTTGAATCTGTCTATGGATTACATTTCTTTCTTATGCTGAGCATTCATGGCTTCTGTAATTTTCTTAAGCTCCTCTATTTTTTAAATCTCTATCTGCTCTAGAGTCACTAAATATGGTTTCATTGTGGACGCCATCTCTGCATTTGTCTGAGAAATTATTTCTGATTTGATTTTTTCTAGAGCCTCATTCAATTGCTTTGTTGTTACCACTTCAGAGAGGCCAGGTGGGTGGCTTTTGGGTTGTCCCACCTCATTGCCCCCTGGGATTGCCTTAGATGAACTGGATGTCTGGGGTTGCATCTTGTTTAAGTGTCTTCTCATTTTCTTTTCTTCTTTTTAGTTTAATTCCTGGGGTGATGCTTGTAAATTACCTATGGTGGGTTGCTTTATTGCTAGTATTTAGAACCCTTAGGAAATGACTGCTTCTCTGAGGTATCTTCCAGGTGTAGCTGGTTTTTGGATTTTGAGTCTGTTGCAAGATAAAAATATGGAATGTTTCATGAATTTGCATGTCATTCTTGTGCAGGGGCCATGCTAATCTTCTCTGTATTGTTCCAATTTTTAGTTTATGTGGTGCCAAAGCAAGCACAAAGAGGGTTTTTCATTAATTTACCGAATGGGCGGAGACCTCCTGGCTCCTATGAGCCTGGGTCTTCCCTTAGGTTGCTTATGTGCTTTAAAGGAGCTGGGCAGGTGGTCAGGGCAGGCTTCCTGGAAGTGGTGGTCCCTAAGTAGGGAGTGCAGGGTGAGTTTATGGCAGTGGCTCCCTCTCCTGGCTGTCCATGTAAATTACCTGGAAAGCTAAAACACCAGTGCTGGTGCCTACACCCATCAGAGTTTCTAGGAGGCCTTCACATGCCTCTGGGGAGGGATAGCAGTCCAGAATTGATGGGAGACAAGCTCAGGCCCCACCCTGCAAAGAATTTTTTTATGACCAGATATGTTCAGTCCTGAGAGGGACTGCCTCTCCAGGAGCAGGTTCCCCCTTACAGGAGGTAAGCTCCCATCACAGAGAGTAACCAAACAGTGTAGGCTGCCACTGGCCAGGGGTGTTCTGGAGAGCTGTCCTTTTCTAAGCATTGTGGACTGAGAGACTCAGAGGCCTGACTGGCTTGGAGCATTCCTTCAGGCACTCTCTGGCTTCAGAGCCAGCAGGAAGTTGGGCCATATGTGAAGCAGGGAGCAGAGTCTCAGGTCATAGCTGGCCTTTTCCTGAGAAGAAGCTCATAGACCTGCCATTCACCTCAGGTCCCCGAGCCATGGCTCCATTGCTTTTATGGGGAAGGGAAGTTGGGCAGATGCAGTCTTTTGGCCAGGTATCCAGTTTCCGGGAAGGCAGGCATGGGGACCCCAGCCTTTTCTCTTGTCAGTGATCAGATCCCAGAACACCTACCTCCTCCCAGGGCCTCAGGACCCTGCCCTCCAACTACCAACTGCTGAGGACACTGTGGGCCCATCAGCTTGTGGAGGAGCAGCATGGGCACGTGGCTTCCTCTAAGTTCTTGACGACTGAGGCTTGATGACTGCTTGAGAGAGGGTGTTGGGATGGGATGGGCGTCCAGTTCCTCTCTGACACCTTCTCTCTACTAAAGCCACTGTGCCCAGCATATATCTGCCAGGGCCAGCACCAGGCACGCAGACCGGCACAGCAGAAGGGAGCTCCCCTCAGGGCTAGTCACAGGCTGGGCAGGTGCAGGGACACACTGAGGGGAGACTGTGCCATGCCATGGTGCTGGATTGGTGACACTGCACAGTCACCCCCAGGCCAGGGGAGGCTGGGCACAGGCCAAGGCCCAGGCCTGGGACAGATGGTCCAGCTGCATGGCAGCCTAAGCCACCCTGCAGGAGGGAACTGAGGGGGGTGTGTCAAGGAAAAGGCAGGGCTGCTGCTGGGGCCCAGGGCCCAGGGCCCAGGGTCAAGAGTAGGCACAGCAGGACTGCAGGTCTAAGTCTCATGTCTGCATGAGGCTCCTTCTCAGAGTCCTAAAACCTCACCCACAAGGCCTCGGTATAGGTGGGCGCCCTTGGTGAGGGCTGGGGCGAGGACAGAGGCTGGAGCACTGCCCAGACTGACCTAAGTCAGCCCCCCAGGCTCCTTGGGTTTCTTCTAATGAGGACACAGCCCCCCACTCCCTTCTTCCTGCCTTTCTCTCCCCTCCCCAAAGCCTAGCAGCAGGACCATCTCTAGACTGAACTTGTCACCTGCCCACTCTGGTTAGGGCCTTGCTACCTCTTCTTCTGCACTCTGGTTGCCTGTTTGTCTCAGACAACTTGCTGGTCCCTGAGCCTTTGCCTATGCCTGGTATGCACTTCCTCCAGGTGCTGGCATGGCTTGCTTGCTCTACTTTTCTGGGTCTTTGCTCAGATGTTACTTCTGCAAGTGGCCTCGGGCCTCCTGGGCAATTCCTCTCCCTCCAAGCCTCACTTCCTGTTAGTACTCTACGAACCCTACAGCCTTCCCATCCTTCCAGCATGTATGGCTGACAACAGAGAGGTTCACACTGGTCTCATTGCTGCTGTGTCCCATTGCCTGGCCTAGCACCAGGGACACAGTAGGGGCTCAGACAAGGCAGGGGCAGATGCAACAGAGCAGAGGCCCTGTGAACACTTGCTTTCACCCCTTGATGCTTGGTTTGCGTTCCCCCAACGTTCCTGGAACCCCAGTCCTGCCAGGCTCAGAAGCAGCTGTGTGTAAGAGGGTGGCTCACTGGGCCGTGTGGCCTCAGACTCCACTGACCAGGCCTCTCGCCTGCAGGCCAATGAGTGCATGCGGATCAAGATCCTAGGCGACTGCTACTACTGCGTGTCAGGCTTGCCTGTGTCCCTGCCCACCCATGCCCGGAACTGTGTGAAGATGGGGCTGGACATATGCGAGGCCATTAAGTAAGTGCCGGGGCCATGGGCAGGTGGGGTAGGCCCTGGAGGCCGGCAGGCAGGTGGCTTGGGTCCGTCAGCGAACTCTGCTCTGTGGGCCGCTGGCTCTGCCCCATCCTGGGGCTCCAGCTCAGATCTCAGAAACTCAGAGCTGGTGATGTGAGGACAGATAAGCCCTGTGCCATCTCTCCCAGGGCCAGGTCCCAGCAATAGCATGAGGGGACTCAGGGCAGACAGCAGGGAACCTCCAGAGTCAGGTGCAACTGAAGGCTCCATCTGCTGTCCGCTCCCAGAAGTTCCGAGAGTCAGGGACTGACCCTCAGTCTATAGGGAGACCCTGGGCTCCTTACTGCTGGCCTCCTGCTCCTCATGAGGTCCTCTAGGCTCATGGGAAGGACCTCCCTGGGGCCAAGCTGGCAGAGGCCAGATGGGCTTGGGCACGGCAGCGCTGCCTGTGGCTCCCAGGTGCCCACCCCGCTACACTGCCTGAAGCATCCCCAGAGTGGCCTGTGGTGCTGGGAGAGTCACCAGCAGAGTCAGTGCTGGTCTCGGCCTGGCTCAGGCCTGCGTGATCTCTGTGTGACCTTGACAGCCTGCCTGAACTTTGTGCAGCTGTCCCTTTGCTCCCTGGTTCCAACTCGTCCCAGTCCTGTTGGCGGATATGTGGTGCCCTGTCCCTGCCGTGCCCTTCCCTCCCTGCTGTCGGCAGGATTTAGAGGTGCTGCTCGTGGCCTCCTGGGTTCCCAGAGGCTCTACCTTGGGGATCCTTGAGCCCAGTGATGCAGTGATGTGCCGGGTTCCTGTTTTGCACAGGAGCAGCCCTGGACATACCTCTCATCTCCGCTGCATACTGGGTGGTGCCCAGGCCCACTAGGCATCCCAACAGCCTTTTCAGACCCAGCAGGGCTGACAGGTGGGGGCACCATGAATGGACTCGTAGCCCATCAATATGAGCTAGCATGACCAGAGCATTGGGTCCTGCTCCTTCCTCCCAGCTCTTGAGCTTGGAGGTGGCCGTATCATTTGTCATTCTTAGAGACAGATGCTCCATGCTGTCTGAGGAGGTGGCTTTACCGGGCTGCCCATCCTCCATGCCTGCCTGGACCTGGACCTCCACCTTCCCCTGAGTGTGGCTGACCCTGTGGTCCTGGCCAGGGTGGAGTGACGACACCACTGTGCTGTGCCCCAGGCAGGTACGGGAGGCCACAGGCGTGGACATCAGCATGCGCGTGGGCATCCACTCGGGGAACGTGCTGTGTGGGGTCATCGGGCTGCGCAAGTGGCAGTACGACGTGTGGTCGCACGACGTGTCCTTGGCCAACAGAATGGAGGCAGCTGGAGTCCCTGGGTGAGGCTTGGAAGGGGGCAGACACGGGGGGCAGTCTCTGGGCTGAGGGACGTGAGGGCTGGTCAGCTGTGGAGGCAGGGGACAGAGTCGAGGTCTGCACGGTGAGGGGAGGAGCCTGAGGTTCGGCCCTGCTTGGCCCTGTCTGCTGTGTGTCCCCTGCTGGGTGCCAGCCCTGCCTGGGCCCCGCTGCTGTGTCTGACCTGGGTCTCTTGCAGTCGGGTACACATCACGGAGGCGACGCTGAACCACCTGGACAAGGCCTATGAAGTGGAGGATGGGCAGGGGCAGCAGCGGGACCCCTACCTGAAGGAAATGAACATCCGCACCTACCTAGTCATCGACCCCCGGGTACGTGGCTCGGAGGAGCAGGGTGCGGGGCTGGGCGACGCTGGGAGTGGGGGTAGCGAGGACAGGGCCGCCGCCGCAGGAAGAGCATGAACCTGAGTGCAGCCCCACTGTGGCAGCAGGCAGGGCTCAGGCTCTCCGCAGGAGCCGTCACCGCTTTATTTTCCTGGGGTGCCACACTCCCTGATTTTCTGCACAGGCTTTGAACAAAACTCACAAAGGCAGGGAATGGCTGGGAGCGGGTCCTGGACAGGAAGCTCCAGGTCCCCAGCTCTCACCTGTGTCTGCCTGACTCAGGGGTCTCAGGTCGCTCCCCACGGCTCCAGGCAGGTGGAGCCCGTCTGATGACTGCTGAGCCTGCTCAGACCCAGGTTTCTGCTTGAGGGAAGCCAGCTGGTCCTGCGGCTGCTCTGTGAATCATCACTGGGCCTTGCTCTGGAACGTCAGCCACACACCCTGGGCTCTTTCCAGCTCCCCTTCTCTCCTGCCGTGTTTGGGGTGGGGGCGGCTTGCGAGTCTCCCCAGCATCCGCTCCCTGACTCAGCCCTCCCTGACCTCACACTGCTCTTGTCCGCAGGACCCCTATCGTGTCACATTCCTGTAGGGTTAGCACTGGGGAAAACCTTCCTGGTCTCTTGACTTCACTGTCCCGTGGCCCCAAAACACTTTGTTTATTTACCCGGCTCTGTGTTTATTGTTACCATGAGGTGCTGCGCGTGGTACCCCCACCCCCAGCCTGCAGTGTGTCCAGAACGTGCCTGGCACGGAGTGGCTGCTCAGGGGGCTTTGAGATGAGCAGCAGCACCTACTGCTCAAACGTGGCTGCAGACAGCTCCAAACCCAACCGCAGCCAAGGGCTGTGCAACCTTCCTCTCTCTGTTCATTCACGTAGTTACAAACTGAATAGGTGTGAAGGGCCTGATATGTCTTCCTTGCCCCAGAGCATCTCTTGGGACTGGATGGTGTCTCGTCTCCCTTTGCAGGGAGTTTGAGGGATGCAGAAGTGGCAGCAGGGCCCTTAATGTGCTGTCCAGGTGCAGCCTCCCCGGGGACATGGAGGTTGCCCCCCAGCTCCGCATCTGCCAGCTCTAACTCGCTGTCTGCACATGTGTGGCCACGGTGGGTGTGGTTGTGGTCATCCTGTGGGCCTGGCTGTACTGGGCACCCTTGGGCAGTGCCTGACCTCTCTGGGCCCCCTGCTAATCCTGTACCTGTTCTGAACAGGTGAGTTTATCTCTGAGCCGCTGGTCTTTATTATACACTTAGGGCTATTTCTCAGGGGCTCGAGACCGGCTCTGATGTTCTAACAGAAGTGTTGGTTGACCTTGAACTTGACCCACTGTGGCTGTGCAGGCAGTGTTGGCAGCAGTGGAGGGGGTGGCAGAGAAGCATACCCACCCCCAGCCCCAGCCCTCCTTCCTCTGACCAGGACCCTTACCAAGGCTGAGTTAGTTCCCTGGAGCTGTGCAGACGTCAGGCTGAGCGGTTAAGTGTGTCTGTCCCAAAAGGAGGCTGGAAGTTCGTGGGAAAGTTGCTATTTTGGCTGGGCCAGAGCTTGTGACTTAGGTGCTTCTGCCTGTGGGTACTGGCAGGGTCCAGGACAGGACTCCTGGAGGGCAGGGGAATGTTCGGAATGTGGGTGGGGGAGAGAGGGGACCCTCCGTGGAGCTCAGAGTGGCCCAGGCTTGTCTGGTGGCCAGGGGTCTTTCTTTCTCTCCCCCTTTCACAGCCTTGCCTGGGGAAGCCCCAGGGTGCCATTGCAGTGAGGAGTTTGGGCTCAGTAGCACACAGGGAGTGGGCAGGGTAACCTTTGAGGCCTGGGTAAGCCAGAGTCCCTGGCGTGGTGCCGGGCCGGCAGGTGCAGTTTTGGGGCCATGTGAGCAGAACTCTGGAAGCTGCTTTGCTGTGCCCTGGCTGGCGTATCTGGATGCAGGCCAGCGCCCCCTCGTAGTCTCTGCTCCCCACAGGAAAGCATGTGCTGGCCACGTTTGGGAGGGTGGGCAGGATGCTTCCCTGGGAGCCACCTCCCTGGGGTGCCTCATGGGAGGGGCTGTGGGCACTCACCCCCAGAGCCCCCTGTTCCCAGACGGTCCTGAGCCCATCCCTTCCCCAAGCAGGCAGAGCAGGGCACCAGACTGTGACCATGAGCCTCTTCCGGACCTGGGCAGGAACAGAGACTGAGCTGGGGCTCCCCACAGTCCGGCCCTGGCCTTGCTTTAGCAGGGTTACATTTCTTGAGGAGACAGAAGGGTGGGTAGAGGGGACAGTAGCATAGACTGGTATCTCCATCTGCCTGTAGAGCCAGCAGCGGCCACCACCCAGCCAGCACCTCCCCAAGCCCAAAGGGGACGCGGCCCTGAAGATGCGGGCTTCGGTGCGCATGACCCGCTACCTTGAGTCCTGGGGTGCCGCGCGGCCCTTTGCGCACCTCAACCACCGCGAGAGCGTGAGCAGCAGTGAGACCCCTGTTCCCAATGGGTGGAGGCCCAAGGTAGGTGCCCCTGGGACCCCGAGGGCTGGGTGCGGGTGCTGAGAAGGGCCGGGAGAAGCCTCGATGTGGTGGCTATAAGGTGAGTGCACTCTGCCCCACCTCCCGCAGGGCTTTGGGGAAGAGGAGACTTTAGCAGAGGATGCAGGGAGCTGGGAGTGTCCCTGTCCTCCCTGCTCCCCAGACCCAGGCTGGGAGGGGCTGCAGGGCCAGCGCGCCAGGAAGTAAAGTCTTCTCTTTTCCCTTCCAGGCCATGCCTCTGCGGCGCCACCGGACCCCTGACAGGTGCGTGTGCCACCCTTCCCCTCTGCCCATGTGTGCCCTGCCTGCCTGCTGGCCAGGGTCTGCTGTGGTCACCTCCTCCAGGCAGGTGGCCCTGACCAGTCTGGGGCCAGTCCAGGTCTTGGGGCAGAACATTTCTAGGGGCCACCGCCTCTAAGGCCCCTTCTCTGCTGGTGGCCCAGACTGAGTGCCCTGGGGCAAGGCCAGTGGGGCTGGTGGTGGGGCTGGGGTGGGTGCCAAGCCCGGGACATGCAGAGGAGCCCTTGGACTGGGGCTGTGAGTGCCCTCTGGGTGATGCTGAGCCTTCACTGGCCCTTTCTGGGCCTCATGGGGCCCCCGGCTGCGTCCCTGCATGCTGGTAAGCCCGCAGTATGTCGCCTCTTCCACGTCTCCCCTGAGTGAGCAGATGTGGGTGCCTAGGGTGACACGGTGGGGGTGTCTGTTTCCAGGAGCACGTCCCCCAAGGGGCGGTCAGAGGACGACTCATACGACGACGAGATGCTGTCAGCCATCGAGGGGCTCAGCTCCACACGGTGAGGCCCCACGTGAGCAGGCTCACCTTGTGTCCTCAGCCTGGTGGCCCGTGGGCTCTCCCCCTTGCCGTAGAAGCCTCTTGAGGGGTGGCCGATGCTCTGGGTCCCTGCCTCACACTGCTGCCCTCCAGGCCTTGCTGCTCCAAGTCCGATGACTTCTACACCTTTGGGCCTATCTTCCTGGAGAAGGGCTTTGAGCGTGAGGTGAGGCCTGAGCAGGGATCTAAGTCCCAGGGCATCAGGGGAGGGGAGTGGAGGGGACTTCTGCAGCTGGGTAGGGGGGTGGTGGTGCAGCACAGCCCCACCTGGGTCTCTGTCCTGTTGGCCTCACTCCCTGACCCAGAGCTCTCACCGGCTTCTGCCTCATGGTTTGGAAGACTTTTGCTCCAGCAAAGGCCAGAATCTCAGCCAATGAGGCCCCGAGTGCCTCAGGCCATTATGGGCTTCCCATTGAGGAAAACCTCAAATCTGGCCTCAGCCTTGGCAGGACCTTCTGACTGACCAGTCTGGCTGCTGTAACAACATGCTCTGCATCCCATATGGCTGTGTGCATACATGTCCTCCTGTAACTCAACCCTCACCTGGCAGAGGCCTGCGCCTCTCAGGTCCTGAGCTGCCCTTACCCTCGGGAGTGGCCTGGAGGGCAAGGTCCTTCTCCATGGGGCTCCTCTCGGGGGTCACTAGCAAATGTGCGGGGTGGTCCTGCTAGCCTGGGACACGCCCTGAACCCGACCTGCGGCAGGGGCCCTCATGAGGCTTTGGTCACACGGGTCTCACCTGTGGGACAGGGACTGAGGCTCAGCCTTACTGTAACTTGGTTTAGGGTGAGATCAGACTGGCAGCCCCATGACGTCAGACCTGGCTCCTGTCCACGGGGCTGAGCACTCTTCAGGGACCTTGGCAATAAAGCCAGCGCCCTGATTGGGTGTAAGAAGGGGGAGGTATGGCTTCTCGGAAAAAGGAACTCCCTCTGAAAAGGAACTGCAAAGGCAGATGAATGAAGTTACTAACTGTGACATCACACGGAGCTCGAGGAGGGGTGTGAAGTATTTTTCAAGGTGGTGAACGTGAGTCTAGAGGCTGAAACCCTCTCACTGCCATGTCGCCCCCAGTACCGCCTGGCGCCCATCCCCCGGGCCCGCTATGACTTTGCCTGTGCCAGCCTTGTTTTTCTCTGCATCCTGCTCGTCCATGTCCTGGTGATGCCCAGGTGAGTCTGGGCAGTGGCCCACTGGGCTCAGTAACTTTAGGCCCTGGTGTCCCTGCCACAGGAGCAGAGGCTGTGGCCCCACACCTGTAATGGACCGAGCTTGCCCTCACTCCCTTCCCCCTCCTCCTGTCCCTGCTGCCTCTGCGCCTGCAGGAACTGTAATTTGCAACTCTGGCTCCGGATGTTTGGCGCTCTTTCAGGGTGGACTCTGGCGGGAAAGTGAGGCTGCCTGGGTTAAGGACAACCGGATCGGGAGCCCCTGAGACCCATGCTTTAGGCTCTGGGGCCCTGCTGTTGGGGGATGGGGAAAATGGAACAGGTCAGAGGGAGGGGAGGGAAGGTTGGCCACAGAAGGTTTCTAGAAGGCCCATGAGGTTAAAGGACAAACTAATATTGTGGTTTAAGATGTGCTTAATAAAGACAAAACAGGAAATGCTTTTATTTCATTATTATGTGCCAGCCCCAAGTCCAAAGGCGCATGGTAATGCTTAGATCTTAGAGAGTTGGCCCATACGTTGGGGCTGTAATTTGACCTTGATCTTTACGTTTTGGGCAGACTTCGTGTATTACTGGTGGGGAACTTCGGCCACAGTTCTCAAAGATGCCCCTGGTTATGCAGAACAGCAGTTGGGCAGGCAGCAGGTGACTAAAACTGGTGACCCGGGGCTGGGGGAGGGTCCCGGGCACTTTGGTCTTTTCTTCCTCTCCAGGATGGCACCTCTGGGTGTGTCCTTTGGGCTGGTAGCCTGCCTGCTGGGACTGGTGCTAGGCCTCTGCTTTGCTGCGGAGTTCATGGTGAGTAGAGGCCCCTGAGCTGCAGGGCTGTGCATCCTCAGCCCCACGCCCTCTCCTTCCCCACTTTGGGGCTGACTGGGCTCCTCTGGTGAGCTACAGGGTCTGAGCCCCGCTCTGGGCAGGCGCTGGGTGCCTGGCTCTCCTGTGTGGGACAGTTTGCCTCTCCCGAGGGTCCCGGCTTCCCAGGCGCCCTGGGCAGGCTCTGAGCTCATTCTGGTGCCCACTCAGGGTACCTTGACTTGTGTCTCCACAGAGGTGCTGCCCAACCCAGGGGATGCTCCGGGCCACCTCAGAGAGGGTGGAGACGTGGCCCCTGCTGAGGCTGTCCCTGGCCGTGCTGACCATCGGCAGCCTGCTCACCATCGCCATCATCAATCTGGTCCGTTCTCGAGTGGGAACCTGGTGCCCATGGCACACTTTCTGGGTGGAGGAGCCTGCCTTTGACCCGGGGAACTCTGAGTCCGTTACCTTAGCCTTGCATCTGGTTTAACTCCTGTAGGGCTCTGAGGGTGGCCCTGTGAGGTCCCCAGGTAAGGCCCAGAGCTCCTCACCCTTTTCAGGTGAAGACTTGAGGTACCCAGGGTACTTACCTGGCCAACCTCATCAAGACGAGACATTTGAGGTTTGAGCCACTGTCCTGAAGTCACATTCCTCCTTGTTGGCTCTGAGGGGGTCCCGTCTCACCATCTCCAGGACTTGGTTTCCTCACTAGGGGGTTATGCCCCATTCTAGCTCCTTCCTCTAGTGCTGCAGTGCCCCTCAGGCCCACATGGGAGAAGGGGCTCCTGGGAGTGTGGGCCACCTCCTTCCTGCCTAAGCTGTAGGGAGAGGGCTCAGAGCTGAGCCTGGCATATCATGGTGCCTGTGGGTGTCTTGGGCTCTTCTCTCTGGCCCTAGCAGGTTACAGGGTCCCCATCCCCTGGACCAACCCTAACGACATTTGTCTCCTCTGTAGCCCCTGATGCCTGACCCAGCGCTGGGGCTGCCTGGGGGCAACGAGACTGCAAGGAGCAGAGACAGGACCTGGAGGGAGCTCCTCCCGGTGAGTGCGCCAGAACTGGCTCCAGCGGAGCCCAGCCCCAGCCTGGCTTGGTACATGTGTCCTCACTGGATGCTCCTACCAGTGGGCACAACTCCGGTGTTAAGAACACTGGTTCTGGGGGCTGGGGATTTAGCTCAGCGGCACAGCGCCTGCCTGGCAAGCGCAAGGTCGTGAGTTCGACTCCCAGTACCGGAAAAAAAAAAAAAAAGAACACTGGTTCTGGGCCCTGAGACCATGGTTGTGGAGTGAGTCCAGTGTCTCCCAGGAGGGCAGAAGGCGAGGTCATGGCTTGCTGAGCTGGAGAAAAGCCGGGTCAGCCAGGTCAGGTCTGGCTGCTTGCTCTAAGCCCTGTGGGGTGGGCAGGGAGGCTGGGGCTCAGCTCAGGGAGGTTCACATATGAGCTGGAGGTGAAGCCAGTGCTGGACCCCATGCAGGTTGACACCAAACCACGGTCTGTGCCTGGAGTGGCCTAATATAAGCAGAATGAGGGCCCTGAACTTCGCAGGGAGTAGCGGGCGGTCAGGGAGTTTTGAGCAGGAATCTAAAGGGCAGAGAGGTTTGGGGGCAGGGCGAGAAGAAGGGTCTGTGCGGAGCCGAGGCATGCGTGTCTCAGCAGGACTTCCGGGAGCTGCATCATGGAGCAGGTATGGGGAGACAAAGAGAGGCAGGGTTGGTCCAGGGTGGTTGAGGATTGCCGGGGTGAGGCGTGCAGTCTATCCTGCGGGCAGCCCAGAGCCACAGTGTGATGCCCAGCAAGAGTAAGATGGGGCAGAGATCTGCTTCTGGAAGCACTCAAGAGACAGAGGGCTGCTTAGTTATGTGCACACCACTGCCTGGACCTCGCTCTGAGATCCACATGGCATCTGTGGCCTTATTTATTAGCATAATAATCTGAGCTCACTGGTGAAACTGCAGTACAGTGTAACACCAGGACCCCTGGCTGCCCTTGCCTGCTGCGTTGGTGCCATGGTCAGCTGTACCCCTGCAGTAACTGTGCTTTGCTCTGGAGACGAGGCTTCTGGTGACAGGATGCGGGATGACCTCCGGCCCCTAAGGAACGTCCCCATCTCCCCAGTATTACAGCTGCAGTTGCATCCTGGGCTTCATTGCCTGCTCTGTCTTCCTGCGGATGAGCCTAGAGCTGAAGGTCCTGCTGCTGACAGTGGCCCTGGTGGCCTACCTGGTACTCTTCAATCTCTCTGCATGCTGCGGCCACAGCCTGAGGAACCTCAACGACACTGACTGTCTGGGCAACCTTACCAAGACCAACAGAACCCCCAGGTAGGGCCCCATCCTGCTGCGCATCTCCTCTGTAGCCAGCTGCGGCACCCGTTTTGTCTCAGTGTCTTGCCAAGTGGACGTACGTCTGTATCTGCAGTCCCCTTTGGCCTGGACACCTGGGGGAGATGGCAGTGTCCATCTTATGGCATCATGCAGCACTGCGGTGCCTCACTGATGAGTTCCTCAGGGGATGTCTTGGTCCTGCAGAAGGCCACCAGGTTCTAGGCTGGCCTAGGGGTGCCGGGGAGGGAACTCGAGCCAGCTCAGCCCTCTAAGCTATGTCCTCAGTTTTGGCAGGAGCGGTGCTTCTGATCCCTTCCTTGAGAGACATGATCTCAGAAGGGCTGGGCTATGGGGTTCTAGGGGGCTCCCTTCAACTAAGAGGCTGGAAATCAAGGACCCACAAGTATCCTGTTCGCTGTCTGCCCCTGCCAAGTCCTTATGCCAATGTCCAGGTCCCTGTCCCACCTCCATGAGGACTCCTGGCTGCCTTCAGACCCTGCCATGGTCAATTCTGGTCCCATGAGGGTGAGCTCAGATGTCCCGTCAGCGAGGTCTGTCCACCTTCCATCCTTGCACTTGCCCCGTGCACCTGCTCTGATTGTCACCTGTTGCCCACAGTGGCCCCTGCTGTTCCACAAGGGATCTGAGGACCATGATCAACTTCTACCTGGTTCTGTTCTACGTCACCCTTGTCATGCTGTCCAGACAGGTGGATGTGGCTCCCAGACCAGCCTCGTGGCCCCTCCTGCCTCCCTCAGGGAAGATGGGTGCTAAGCGGGGGGTGGGCAGCAGAGTCCTTCCATGGAAGCTCCGATCCCTGGGCAGGGAGGTGTGTGGCAGTCAGCTCAGGGTGGGGGTGCCCAGGACTGCATGGGTGGCTGCCAGCCCCTTGGGTGGATGTGTCACCCTCAGGACAGATGCTGATGCGTCCATTTGCAGATCGACTATTACTGCCGCTTGGACTGTCTGTGGAAGAAGAAGTTCAAGAAGGAACATGAGGAGTTTGAAACCATGGAGAACGTGAACCGCCTCCTCCTGGAGAACGTGCTGCCGGCCCACGTGGCTGCCCACTTCATCGGTGACAAGCTAAATGAGGTGCAGCCCAGCCCCGGGGTAGGACACCTGGGCACCGAAAGTGCCAGATGCAATGCAGAGCTACAGAGCGGCCAAAGCTGCTCACCACAGGCCTCACCTGGCTTGCTTGCCCTGTACCAGTAGACAGCGTAATAAAGCCTGGGCTCTAAGTCATAGCCAGGTTTCCAGATAAGGAAACAGGTGCGTCTTGCCAGTACAGGGCACTCTGGGTGCACACAGTGCCGCCAGCCTGAGCCTGGCCTCCCGACCGTCTGATTCAGAGCTACCACGGTGTCTTCCCAGCCCCAGCCTCGGGGGGGGGGGACGGTGGGGGCTCCACTGCTCAGTCCTCTGCTGTCTTGAAAATGCACTGGGAAGGTCACTACTATGCCTGTCCCCTAACCCTAACCCTCCAAAGGCAAGTGGGCATAAGGTCCTGTTTCACCCTTACCCTGCTCCAGGACTGGTACCATCAGTCCTACGACTGTGTCTGCGTCATGTTTGCGTCTGTGCCGGATTTCAAAGTGTTCTACACAGAGTGCGATGTCAACAAAGAAGGGCTGGAGTGCCTGCGCCTGCTGAACGAGATCATCGCTGATTTCGATGAGGTACAGCCTCCACCCGCCTCCTGAGGGGTCAGGGCTCTGGGCTTCTCACCTGCCCAGGCAGGGCGAGGTAGAGGCTGGAGCAGCCTAACTGCAGTTAAAAAGGTGAGGACAGGGGCTGGGGATGCAGTTCAGTGGTAGCCAGAGCATGTACGAGGCCCTGGGTCCAGACCCAAAACGAGGCAGCTCCTTTGGGGGAACATACACTACAAAATATAAAAGGAACAAATCTGTCTTTATTGATTTACTCAGAAAATGCTTAGTTAACGTCTCTGTGGTAGGCAGTTTGTTCCGATTAGATTCAGGTCCTTATAGAATGGGCGAATTTCCAGCTAAGCTTGTCGGTTTGGGCTGGACTCTGCTGCAGACAGTGAATCGAGACTCTGAGCTGTGTCTTGCTCCTTCCAAGGGATGAGAAGGATGAGGGAGAGGTGTCTGCACCTGCACTTGGCCGTGAGCTCCGACTGGGAGGGGCCCCAGGAGACACATCTGCCTGTGGGGAGCCCCGCATCCTTTCTGAGCATTTGTGTACTTCTAGCTGCAACATCTTCTCTGTCCTGCAGTTGCTGCTGAAGCCCAAGTTCAGTGGCGTAGAGAAGATCAAGACCATCGGGAGCACCTACATGGCAGCTGCAGGGCTCAGTGTCCCCTCCGGGCACGAGAACCAGGTACTGAACACCCGGGCGGGGAAATGCAACAGGCAACCTCCAGACCTGTCACTTCCCACTTAACGGAGCCTCTTCGCTCCCTTCCTGTGAAGGAGGGAAGGCACATGTATGGCTCAGCCTGGAGCATTCTGGAGGTGGGGGATGGGTACCTCTGTGGAGAAGGGTGACAGCCCACTGACTGCCCCGCCCCATGGGTCCTGCCAGGCCAGGTACTCTACCAGCCTGAGTCTGTGGGGGTAGGACTTCACATGCCCTGTGTCCTGCAGGACCTGGAGCGGCAGCATGCCCACATTGGCGTCCTGGTGGAGTTTAGCATCGCCTTGATGAGCAAGCTGGACGGCATCAACAGGCATTCCTTCAACTCCTTTCGCCTCCGCGTCGGTGAGGGCCCAGCTGCTGGGAGCCCAGGATGGCTTCTCCCAATCTGCTTAGCCGCACTGTACTGGGTCATCTTCTACCAAGTTTCAGAAACCCCTCTGACCTGAGAAGTGCATAGCCTGGATAATTATTCTGACTTCTGCATAGTGTTCTTATAGTTATCTAAATTTTAGTTAAGAATGTATCATTATAGCAAACTGACTACCAAAGTCACAGGTATAAATGGCTTACTTTAAAATACAGTGATGGCAAAGCAGAATTATTAAAGCTAACTAGTCCTTGTTGGCTCAGTGGTCAGTGGTTAAAGCCCATTTGTTGCTGAAAGGGAGACTGGCAAAGACTTAACAAGCCCCGACTTCCTGCGTGTTGGAGAGTCGGAACTGGCATGGCCAGGGCGTGCCTTTCCCTGCAACAGTCACCTCCAGCTGCAGGCGAGGGACACAGCCCCAACCACCCTTTATCTTCATGGTGCTTTCCTGCTGCGCTCTGCGGTTGCGGGGTGCACTCTCAGCTGTGGCTCTCCTCTGGGATGTGCCAACTGTTAACATTATCTTTAGGCATAAACCATGGGCCTGTGATTGCTGGAGTGATCGGGGCACGAAAGCCTCAGTATGACATCTGGGGGAACACAGTTAACGTCGCCAGCCGCATGGAGAGCACTGGAGAACTTGGGAAAATCCAGGTAAAAACCCATCGTGCAGTATGTGGCTGAAGGGAAAGAGCCCCCCCAGGTGAGGGGTCCTGGGCCTAAGAGCTGGGTCCACCAGCACTGAGGTGTGCCACTATGGTCACCGGTTTTGAGACAAAGCAGACATGTATGCTGCTTACTGGCCCGCGGCTACCTGTCCCTAGCACAGCAGTTTTCTTCCCACTTCCTTCCTCTGCTCAGGTTACTGAAGAGACGTGCACCATCCTCCAAAGCCTGGGTTACTCCTGTGAGTGCCGGGGGCTGATTAATGTCAAAGGCAAAGGCGAGCTTCGGACCTACTTTGTGTGCACAGACACTGCCAAGTTTCAGGGGCTGGGGCTGAACTGAAGGCTTCTGGAGGAGTCAGATCACGGTGGGAAGCTGGTTTCCTCCCCAGAGCAGGTCCGGAAGCCAGCCCCAAGCCAGTTGCAAAGGTTGTGGAAGGTTCTGGCCATCACTGCCCCCCAGCAGATGGCTGTGCATGGCTTCTAAGAATTTGCACCAGAAGATTCTCAGACACAGGCACCAGATCCTGCTTGGAGCAACTGCTTAACTAGAGCATGTGGTATAGCCAGAACTTTTGTGCTGTCACTGCACCAGTTTCCGGGACAGCTGGAAGATGACCACTGGGATGTGATGCCAACTACGCTGGTGGTGATCCTAGAGTGTGATCAAGACAGACATCCACCTCGGCAGCCTGTGAGCATGCATAAGGGAGACCCACCTTTTCTAGGTCAAAGAAGGACTAAGCCAAGTTCTCTAGCCTGGGTTGGAGGCCCCCTTCTCTCCAGGACCACAGGCCATGAAAGTCTGTATTCCTCACACAGGTCTGAGGCTGGAAAGGGTGTTTTACAAGTGGATTCTTCCAGTAGAGAAAAAAATGCACAATGGACACTTCATTCTTGTCATCTCTGACATGTTTTAAATGGGTGCATTCTTAATGGGGTTTTACTTTTCTTGACAACTTAGATGCTGGGCAAAAATCTCCAACGTGTATGTAAATAGAACTACTGTCCAGTGTCAGCTGATGGGAGTAACTGGCTGTGGGGCCAGTTCTGAGGAATGGGCTCAGAGCAAGAAGGCACGGAGCAGTGAAGCCTCGGCTCTGAGTCAGGCAGCTCCAACGAACACTTCCCGGGATCACGTTCAGTAAGCTGAAAGCTTAGGAGCAAGGTACCACCTTTCAGCTCTGCCTGACTACTGCACTTCTGAGCTCCCCCTGCAATCTACTATCTCATGCTATTTCAGTGGGAAGGAATGGAGGCTATGCGGAGAGCCCTTGGACAACCTGCACTGCATCCTTCCTTTTCTTTAGTCTTCACATAGCTGACTCTGGAGAGCTTCAAAACTAGAAGGATCTACTCAGCATGAGATGTGTCAAGGTTGCCCTACCTGGGAAGCCAGCTCCTGACAGATGCTGAGACGTTCTTGCTCTGAACCCGAACGCATCAAGGTAAAAAGCCATCTTTAAGATGGTGTCTTACCATACTTCAGCTCCACAGGGAGCTAGAAGTCAATGTAACTGTTTCACAGGGAGAAATAACCAAACTGCCTGTTCCTTTTCTGAACTGACTTCACTGCTGCCAGAGCATCTCTGGGATCTCTAACACCACTGAATGTCACTACATCGCAGGGATTCATAGCTAGAAGCCAGCCGTGAACCTCCTGAAGTTGTACAGAAAATCTCGCAGAAGCCTTCAAAAGACTGGTTATATAGGGTTGTGATGAACTGCCACCCTTGCTGCAGAGTAGCAGAGTAGTGTGCAGGCAGGGGTGGAGGTGGTTGAAATGGGCCCATCTGCTCGGGTTGTGTTTTATCAGCTTGAGGAAGGGGGACCGATTCTAATTTGCAAAAAGGTGCTGGGTTGGGCTAGTGGCAGCTCTAATGTGTCACATGTAACTGGAATTAATATGCATGCAAAAACTTGCTCTGAACACCTGTATCTTGTACTTCGAGTAACTAATTTAAAGATAACAATACACAATGTATTAACCATTTTTACCCTATTATCTTGTTTTGAAATTACGTTTTACTTTTTCTCTTAAAAAAAAAAAAACCCAAAAAACAAAAAACAAAAACCTTGCTCTGTAAAAGTTCTATGGCAAAAATGCCAGCAAGAGATAGAAGCCTTGCCTAAATTGCCTTTTTTATACTCTGCTTTGTCATATAAAGGGCTCATTTCAAGGAGTACTGTACTGAAATCTGTGCTCTCTAAATCTAACAGTGGCCAGGGCTGCTGAGCTGGGCTCTCCTGGAGAGGAGGGTCCTGTTGCTGACATAAGGTAGACGTGTATCATGGTATGGGCTTCCTGGAACTCTGTGTGTTCCTACTCTTGCAACATTCATCAAGTTATTTCCTTCAGCAATGGAGCCAGGGATATAGCTCAGCAGCACAAGTGCCTGCCTGGCAAGCACAAGGTCCTGAGTTCGATTCCTGGTACCAAAAAAACCCCAACCAACAAACCAACCAACCAGCCAAACAAACAAAAAAACCAAAAAGCAATGGATATCCCATCAGGGAGTTTAAAAAATAAATTCATGTATCTTATTTTCAGTTAAAGCATTGTGCTCAGATAAGAATATTTCGTAAGTTTTCAGTCTCTAATGTTCAAATCATAGAGTATAACTGACCATTACAATCACTTGTAGTTGTTTTTTTGACTTTTTTAATTACCAAGTAATTTCTTTGCAAGTGTCATTTTGTTTTGGCAGGAACAAATGTTTTCCAACAATGACCCACTCTACTGGGATAAAGATTGGCTTAAAATTTTTACCTAAGGTGGTTTCACTGACTATGGAAAACAACAGAGGAAATCTTTCTGGTTTATTTATTAAGGAAATTTCCCAATAGAAAAGCTGATCCTTACCCACTGTACACTTTGTGTCTATAACACATCAATGTACAGAAATACGCTTTGAGATCATGTATGCAAGTGATAAGGGTTGGTTCTGTGTAAGATTATAGATCTGTCACATGGTTTTGGATGTTTGTTTCATTTTTATAAACTACAGTGTTTGGCTGCTTTTGAAACATTAAATTAGCAATCTGGAAAACCTGAATGTCCTAAGGTATTTTGAATTTAAATTTATCTTAGTAATCTCCGGGAGCTTAACTGTGTCCAGTAATGTCTAAACGGTATTTTAGAGATTAGACTCTATAAAGACTTGATAAAACAAATTGAATTGGTTTTATTAGCATAATATTCTAAGTAGGTTTTTAAATGATTAGTTCATGTTTTAAATTTAAAATAATCAGTTTTCCTTTTCTTGTTTTTGTTCCATGTTAATTTTCAAGTCAAGAAAATATAAAATGGCTTCCTCTTTGGGTGTTTTACAGAATGGCCCTGTATAGGGCGTTAATGTGTTCACAGAATTAGGCTATATACATCTTGGATTTTTTTCCTTTTATTTATTTATGGTACTGGGGATTGAATCTAGGACCTCACACATATCAGGCAAGCACTCTACCACTGAACTATGTCCCCAGTCCAATACTACTTTTTTATTTTAAACAGATTATGTTCGGAACTAGTTTCAGAAAAATCACCATTCATCTGAGCTTAGTCACTGGGATGTGGTGAGGGACCTAATTACTATGCATGAGGACATTATTTCTATTAGGTAGAAAGCAGAACTATACTGATAAATCCTAAAATTTTAGATTTATTTCCATGGTATAATGACAGAAAATCTCACGGAATAGGGCTACTTTTAAAGAGCTTCCTAGTTATGCTACTGCTGGGGAAACATAAGCAGCGTCAGCACTATTCTGAAGAACGTTCCCAGGTTGGCAGTAGCCCAAGGCCCTATTTCTTCCTCAGATGGACCACTTTTTAGACAAATTACCAAGATGCTACCTGATAAGTTAGGAATTATTAGTTCTTCAATGCGGAGTGTGGCAAATGTGAAACTGAGGAATTTCAATGATGGGGGATTTTCTTTCAGGGATGACACTGAAGAAGGCTGTTTCATGTTCTGAGGTTGTCTCTTGGTCACATCATCCTCAGACACAGCCTGCAGAAAGCTCAAGGGGTAACTTAGTTGATATCACGATACTCTTTAAGAGTCCCAGGTTCAATTTTATTACCTAATAGAAGTCCAGCCTCTGGAACATTAAAGTTGATTGTTCCAAAGTTTAATTAAAAACACAATTTACAAATAGTTAATATGTTTTGAAAAGCATTTCCAAGTTCAGAATGAAAAAAATATGTACATAATATATAATCAAATACCAGTTATCCTCAGCTCCCATCAGATCGACACTCGGCAACGTCAGTCTTCTTAGGCTCCTCCAGATCTGAAAGACAGCACACTTAGTGGTTTTCTCCATTTCAATCAGAAGTGGGAAGTGACGATGAAGCTAGCACCAGCAGAGTTAGCTGCTGATATCCCTTCTGTAGCACATTCAAGGTTAAAGAGAAGTTGTACTATTAGGTCATCATTGGAGCTTTTTAGGCAAATGTGTGAAATTTTTATTAATTCTTATGACAAGATAGAAAAGTAGTTTCACACCTTAAAATCTCAGAGCCCAAACTTCTCAAATGTTATCTGAAGGGAAAGGACTGATGTTCCTTTTACTCACTAACAGCACCCCTCCCCGCCCAAACAGGAACGCACCTTCTGTTAGATCTACGAAGTTGTTTTCCATGGTGGGGGAAGGAATGGAAATCCCCATTGCTTTCCGTATTCCATACATGCTGACAATATCACCGGGAGTGACTTGCTGTGCAAGTTCTTTAAGATTATTGGTCACTTGTTCAGCTGGGGGGAAAAAAAATTCCAGGTACTGAAAAGTAGTTCCTTTAGGTAGATAATTTTAAAATCCAAAATAACAAGGGTATCAATGCAAAAAGGTACACTGTCCATGGCGCTCATTTGAGCAATGCTTTATAGTGGTGTCACTACTCAGAAGTTTTCCCTTTAAGCATCTCCCGATTCTTCTCTTACTGGAGGTGCAACGTACCAAGGTGCATTTCTCTGTATGATGGACCCAAGAGACAGATCATGTTGGGAGGGGGTCTGGTGCTCAGCCGCTCATTCTGTGCTTCCTGGAGCTCCCTGAGCAATCTTGTGGTCTCATCAAGTTTCCTCTGGAACACTTCCGCCTCTGTGTGGTAAGGACATACTAATGAAAACAGACATACTTGCATATGGTCTTGTGTGGTAAACTGAGTCCTATGCTCTGGGGCTTGGCTATTTGTTGGCTAGCCTCACCCCTCAAAAGAGTAAAGCCCCTCCAAAAAAACCAACACCACAGCCATGCTCTACTACTCTTCTTTTCAAGACAAGAGTCTTGCTATATAGTTCAGGCTGGTCCTGAACTCACCAGTGTAGCCCAGGCTGGTCCTGAACTCACTAGTATAGCCCAGGCTGGTCTTGAACTTGCACAAATCTGAGAGCTGGATTACAGGCATGTGCCACCACACTTGGCTTCCTACCATTCATTTAACTTGCTTGGCCCAAGATGTTTCAGTGGTCCATGGCTGGGATAATCTGTGGCATTACCTTAATTACCTGTGTTCAGTTTCCAGCCACATGTCAGCCACTCACCTTCAGAGTCAAAAACTTCAACTGGAGCACCAAAGTTTGTTACTGCTTTCAGCGCTGTTAGCCTGTCCTGAGCGCTAGAGTCCAAATGCCCTGCTGGTTCCACTTCTGTAATCTAAGTCAAAAGAAAAAAAAGGCAATTATCTGAGCTTGCTAAGCCATGATAGTGCTCAGTAAAAATCAGTAAGATGACTTGCTTTTAGAGGCAAGGCCATTCCACCTATTTACTGTGGAGGCATGACTTTAATGACTACCCAGAATGTCTTCCTGGAATACCCTTTAACACACTATTCCCAAACTGTGGCAAAATAAGTGTCATAAATTCACACTGCTCAGTAATGTAATGATGTCTTACAAATTTGCATTACTTGTTTCATATATCAACAACTCTAAAGATAAGGAGCCTCATCACTGCCTCAACTTTGAAGTGCTATGGTATGACAATGCCTTGTATTTCTAAGACTCAAAGGCAAATGCTTTACCCACCCAGTCCATACGCTTGCACTTCTACAGCGTATCTTTATAGAGTCTAGATGTTTTATGAGTATCCTGGAAACCTCAAAGCTAGGCTGTCAGTACTGTTCAGGAGAAACAAGATCTTAAGAAAGGCAGAGTTGTATTTTTGGAATTCTAAGACTCAAGAGTTTCTATAACCTCAATGCTGACTGTGGAAGATACATCAACTCAGATAATAACCAAAAGTTAGTGGTTCCATTTGTATTTGACACTGCAGCCCAAGATTAATCTGGATACCCAAACTTCTGCCTGCACATGCGTGGGCTCAAAGTGTGCAATGCAGGAAAACTAACCTGGCACTAGTATGTATTTAGGGTTTGCCTTTTCAGCTACAACTGCACAGCTCCACTCAATACTCTTTATTACTTATCCAACTTCTTTTCCCATTCTCAAGATTTCTTTTCCTCTCGCCTGCTCATTAAGCACATGGCCTTGCTTGGCTCCCCTTTTCCTGAAAACATGGCTGTGTAAACACCATCTACATCTTTACTGGATCTCACATCTCCAGCCTTCCTTCCCCCTCAGTTACAGGGCTTATGTTTGTCTAACCTTTAGTCCAGTTTCCCTCCAGTCACTTAACTCACAGAAGTTTCCCTTTTGCCCCTACCCTTTCACTGAGATCACTATGATCAAGGTTACAAGTGACACTTCCACTCTCCTTACTGGGCTTCTGCAGCATCTGACACGGAACTCTCTCTCCTCCTCAGTATTCATTCACAGGTTTCCTATCTTAATGACTGATCTTCTCCAAGGTTCCCCGTGTTCTCACTCTAATGATGGGAATCAAATCTTACGTCTACAACAACCATTTCCAGCTCCACAATTCCCGCAATGTCCCAGTCACACTCATCACATGGGAAAGGGCATGTGACTTCTTTCCTATGAAAGGTGTCCTCCTTTTCCCGGACTTCCTATGTGAGCTGATACTACTACCTACCTCAGGCATCAGGTCACATCAACTTTTGTTCTGTTGTATTTGCTAAATCCTTTTGTCCTTTCAATTGGTATGCTAGTCATTGTCTTGGCTTTTTTCTTTGCTTTGACAAGCCCTGAAGCTCTT